AATCAACCAGAATAAAACAAATCAGTGTTGTACTCTGATAGTTAACTAGTTTAAATTCAGACTGCTAACATGAACTTTGTACTACCTATGTTTTCTGCATGTGAGGAGGTGAAGGATCAAACCTTCACTTTTCAAACATAGTTAAATTCTTGCCCAATGTAATTTCTACAGTGCAGATTTCAGGTGGTTCATGCACAGGGCTTGAATTTCAGGTAAGAGAGAAATGGGTATGCAACTGTTAGCACACAACTATTGCTATTATTGGGAATGCAGTAAGGAAAGACTTGAATTCCTGTTACAGTTTCTGGAAGAATAGCAATGCTAACATTTGAAAAACAAAAATCTGCAGATTTTCTTCCTGGAAGGGTAGGTTGCATTCATTTTAAAAGACCAAAGGAAGATGAGCAGGTGATAGACAGAAGTAAACGGCTGTTGTTTATAGAGAAGAAGGGTAAGGTCATGGCTATTACTGTTGCAGTTGGTAAAAGCCATGATATGTTCATTTTATCACGGCACTTGACATATTGTGGTTTAGTGGGCTGTTGATTGCCAGCTGACCTAGCCTGCTCTACATGTGAGCTAAGACATGTTAGCCTAAACCACCTTCCTCGACTCTGTGAAACTGTGGTAATTGATTTGCTTGTGATGAGTAGTTCTGTTGAGGGTCATTTTAAGCGTGTCTCTTCTGCATTCTGCTCCCTGCTGAGACAGTTTAGGCAATTGCCCAGGTATTCCAGAGAGAGAGGAAATGCTCTTGTAATTCTGTAGAAGAACTGGTTGGTGCTCCGTTGTGTTTTCTGCCTGATGCCATTGTAGGGTAACCAGTCTGGTGGGATTATCAAAAAATTATATAAACTACACAGCTGGATATTTGTGAGTCATTTGTAGGACCAGGATTCAAAAAATATTGTGAGAGATTGCTTTCCTCTCATGCTTCTGGATTTCATCCCAGTACCAAGTCAGAAGCTTAGCTGAAGTTTTTGAACAAAGGAGAAGTTGCATATCTAGTTGCCTGTTCATTAAACTCAAACCTCACCTCCTTTTTATCTTGCCTTTAGTTGTTGTGAAGTAAATAACTTGAGTGTTTCTGCTTGTATTGTCAACAATGAAGTGTTCTGTCCTTTAGAGAATATGTAATTCAGCCTAGTCCAGGTCTGGATGTATCAGCAGGCCAGACACCTGGGCTCAGTTGTCCTTCACTTAAACTATTTTTCTTCTCTTTTTCTCACGGTAGCTTTCCTCACTTTTCATATGAAGGATTTTATGACTGATACATGGATTGGATTAAATGATATAAATCATGAACTGAGGTTCCTTTGGACAGATGGAAAGGGAGTTTACTTTACAAACTGGGCCAAAGGCTTCCCATCAGGACATACAGATTTATACTCGTATGATGGCCAGGTGAATATAATTAATCACAAAATGTTCACTGCAATTTGCATGTAGAATGCCTTTGGGCATTTGCTGGGATTTGAGACATGGTACTACAGGATTTACTGCTTTCAGATCTGCAGAATTTAATAAGAGCTTTGACTGAGGTTATATACTGCGCTGAGAAAATTGTTAATTACAAACCTTTTATGCATGTCAAGTATAAATCCAAGTAGAGCGAAGGGCTTTCAGCCCTTGGGAAGTTGCTGTACCAGCTAGCTACAGCATCTGGAGTGTGCGCATACAAACGCTGGTTTCAGATTTCGGTTCTCTGTGTACGTGAAGACTGTACATAAGCTCTGGTAAAGGAGACGTATGGGACTCCAGCCTTATGACATATGCTGCAAAAATGCATTAAATGAGCAGATCCTCCTACTCCTGTGACCACGGTTGTCCCTGAATTTAGGGGTTTTCTCAGTCAGCCTGTAGCTTGCAAGTGGCACTTGCAGACAAGCGTTACCCTCAAACAGCCATATATGGATAAGCATATGCATATGTTGTCAGTCACATTTGTGGAAGGAACATATTACTTCTATAAAAAGCCAGCCATTCAGTTTTTCTGGGAAAAAAAAAAACAAAACAAAAAGCCACTTCCCCTATTTCTCTATCATGCAAACTGATCTCTGATGGCACATGTTTAGGTGGTGCTGTGCTGTGGAACTACATCACGTTCACTCACTGTATTTACACTGAGTACAATTTGCGCTGAAAAAACACTTTTTTATGTACAATGGTTTTTTTCCTCTTTTTGAAAGTAGCCTCACTGAGCTTCTGATCCTTTATTGAGGGAGAAAATTTGGGAAAAATTTGAAGTTAATCAGAAGTAGCATGCTTAAAATGTTACTTTTGGGAGGAACAATATATATATTTTTCCTTCTTTATGAAAAGCGATAGGGTTTCTATAAAGTCTTCTCTGAAAAATTTCCTGGTGTGTAAATTTCAGCTTTATTTTTAAATATACTTGACCTGAATAAAAAATAAGTTGTCAAGGTTAATGCACAGTACTATGCAACTGTTCAGTTAGAAAGATTTAAATCTTAAATGTATTTCACTAGGCAATTAAATGTTTCTCTGTGCATCTCCTCCTGGCCAGCCAAAGTAAATATGTAAATAGAATAAGATAAATATGGAAGCTTCATTGCACAAAATATTTGTAGACATACAGTATTTTGCTTTAGTCAGTGTTTGTTACTGTGTGACTCACATAGGTTCTGTCTAATGCGTTCATCTCGGGGTGGCTGAAATGTCACCATAAGGCTGGCACCCTGAGATCAATGGCTGCCTTTGGGAAGGAGCAGATCTAATTTTTCTGTGTATAATACTACAGCTTGCAAGAATAAATCTGAAGAGGAGAGTGAGATGTCAGAACTGTTGCATTGCTTATTGATGGTCAAGCCATGGCAGGAGGGTTTTTTTCTGGGGCGAAGTTAATCAGTGTTTTCTACAATAGCTGATGTTACTTCTCTTTAAACTGGCTGTGGCTTTCCTCCTCTCCATTCTGTATGCCTGGAGATGGGAGGATACCAGCATTTCTCTGGTCTTCCTTTTCAACCCTGGTATTGCGCAAGAGGGAGGAACTTAAAAAGTTTGGAAAGCGCAAGAGTTTTATCATCATAAAACTGGAGCTGCTAAATCTTACAAGGATATGAGAATAAAACTGCAATATTACTTGTGTCTTAAAATGTGAAAGGGTGATAAAAGTTTCTTACTTGCTTTTTCTAGTTATATATAACTGGTTTTGTGTCTTTTTCCTCCGAGGCGGATTGTGTTGTCATGAGAAACAGCCCTATTAAAGAAGCAGGGAAGTGGGCTGATGAGAGTTGTGATAACAGCAGAGGTTATATATGCCAAATTAATGCAGGTAATTGTCTTTTCAATTACAACACAGTCAAACCTAACGTATTTTCAGGCTTTCGCTTGGGCACTAGTGCTGAATTTCAGCATCATTTCACTTCCAATAAAGTTATATCCATAAGTTGTTTTTCAGGCAGAAACACAAGGGACATATGCATCAAACCAAAGGTCCAGCTGGAGAGACTATCCTAAGCTGACCCTTCCCAGTAACTGCCACATTACTAACTTCCTGGACTGGAATTTGTATCTACATCTTTGTGTGTAGTAGAAACGTTGCCCTGATATTTGCTCTGTCATTTTGTCTAGTCATTTTTTTCTAATCATTTTCTGAGCACACTGACTTTCAAAACATATTCTGGAAAACACTGGATTGTACATGTAGCATGAACTGCCTGGAATGTGAATGTAGCTCATCCGCACTGAACTTGAGCTAATTTATCTAGAAAATAAAATTTAAAATCAGTGAAAACCTGCAATCAGATTGATTTCTACTCTAATCCTAGTTCATTTCAGTAATACTAGCCTGGAGGATTATGCAG